CCCAAATTTCTGACCAATGAGTCAGCTAGTGTGAGCGATCCCGTGCGTTCCCATGTTAGAGGCGTTGACTTCCACCACAGCTCAAGTTTGGATCCGCTGGCAGGATAACCGCAACTCCGCAAAGTCACTCTACCTGTGAAGAATAAGGAATCCAGCTCTGAATGCATGAGATAAGGCTATACAATACTGTACAAATTATACAATAAATATACGCACTGGAGCAGAAAGAATATACGGGCACGTTTGGATGCTCTGCCGTATCTCGCCTGGCCTTACCTGGTGAAGAATTGCAAAAGAACCGAGCGTTTGGTTTAGCGGTGAGTGGCCTGGGAGCCTGTGCAAGCAAGCAAAACCTTTGCCAGAGTTGGAGAGCGGATTCAGCTGGCTTGGCTGGGCAAGTTTTTTTTGGAGTCCGTGCAAGCGGGGCAAGGCAAGATACGCCGAGAAACCAAACGTGCCCTACGTGCCCTCTAGCTGCGCTGATGCATGTGTCCGAGGGATCGCGGCATCGCACCGTGGGTTTGACTTGATGATCGTGCCATTTTATTTCTGATGGCGTGTGCTTCGGACGTTGATTGTACCGGAAATAACAAATCGAAGTTCCTTGTTCTATCTACCAAAAATGATATGTAAATGCCCACCCTCTCCTTCTAGTCGCCCACCGGCCTCCTTCGTTATAAAGATGATCATGAGACCATCAATCTAGCACCACCGGTACCAACCACGCTAAGTCTAGATAACTTCCTGGCCATCGCAAGATAAAAAAACTGATGAGCTAGGTACATAAAGATGCAAACGAGGAACGTAACCATCCCCACCAATCGCATGAACCCTACAAAGGCTGGGTTGGATTTTTAGATAGGCATTTGCACTAGGGTTCTCTAAAAAAACAAGATACGATGATGAATCGACGAAGACGATACCATATAGCTCATGTGACACAATTTATTTTCTCTAAACCCTAACTACTATGACTTGACTGGATGAATGAGGGTCCCTGCTCCTCCTCACCATCTAGGGCTTCGGCAATAGGGGAAGTGAAAGCCCTAGTTTGATTTTGGATAATTGATGAAACCTATGGACTAATCCTTAAGCTAAGTGTGTAGACAAGAGAGGATGGTCCAAAGCCAAGTGGTGGAGCTAGATGATGGTAATGGTGATGATGGTGACCAAACTTGAAGATCAAGTGCTCCAACTTAGAAAAGAAGAAAGAGAAAAATAAAAACCAAGTGTTAATCAAGACAAAGGTATCAAATATGTTTTTGTTTTGACACTCAAGACATCATAGAGGGTGTGAGTATATTTAGGATCGATAGTCGTACTACAAAGAGGGGAAATGTTTAGCTAAGCGGTTATCGAGTGCCACTAAGTGAAGTGATTCATGCATATGCATTTAGGGACCTAGTGTGCTAACAATTGACCCTTGAAAATGCTTTGAAAATATGCTAACACACGTGCACAAGTGGTGAGACACTTTGGTGTTGGCACATGGAAGCAAGGGTGAAGTGAAAAGGAAGAGAAGGGGTCACTCACAGGTGTCCGGACGCTGGTCTCGGCTTGACCGGACGCGTCTGGTGCTTCACCCTAGGTGGCACAACACTTGGCCGAGAGCCCGAGTTGGGACCGGACGCAGGACCGGACTCGGGCGCAGAGTTTGGTCATGCGCAGCATAGAGGGCGTTGCTCAGGCGGTCGATCAGATGCAGGAGGTGACGCGTGACCGAACGCTGGGTGAACACTATTCATGCGTCCGGTCACATCTGTGTGGCGCACGTGAAGTTGTGCAGAGAGGACCGGACGCACCGGTGAGTCCGGTCATGCGAGGCAGGATGCATCCGGTCGCTCGAAAACCTCTATATGTAGTTTCTGGACTCGACTTGACGCCATGTGTTGGTGAGTGCGGTCATTCTAGCGCTGAGTCCGGTCACGTTTTAGCTGCGCGAGTGAACGTTAAGTGACCGTTGGAGATGAATGGACGAGGTTAAACGCGGTGCCACGCGACGGCCATCGGCCGACCGGACGCTAAGGTGCGTCCGGTCAGTGAGTCCGGTCACGCCTGCGTAGCCCAACGGCTCTCTGAGCCTTAGGGGCTCTATAAATAGAAGGGGTACGCCTTGGGCTCACTCTCTTTCACATTTTCATCAGTGATATATCCTTGTGAGCCTAAGCAAACACCTCCCACACATTTCCACGACTGATTCATCATCAAAGTGAGATTGGGAGTGATTCCTAGTGCATTTGCTTGAGTGATTACATCTAGTGGCACTTGGAGATCGTTGTGGCTGCGGATTTCTTGTTACTCTTGGCGTTTGCGAACGCCTAGATGGCTTTAAGCAGTGGAGGATCATTGGCACGAGTTGGTGATTGTTCGTGGTCATCTTCCGGTGATTATGAGGGGTCTTGTACCTTCCCTGACGGAGAGCCGAAAGGTAACTCTAGTGGATTGCGCGTGTCATTGAGCTACCTCACTTGTGGGTAGGTTCTTACGGCGCCCAAGTGTTGGGCTAGGTGTGTGATACCTATTAGCCGCTGAACCACCAAGTGTTGGTCGACACAACGGGGACTAGCGTGCCGGCAAGCATGTGAACCTCGAGAGAAAAATTGATTGTCTCTTGTAAATTGGATTTCTCCCTTGGAATTCATATTGTGATTGATCATCTCTTGCCACGTGCGGTATACCTCTCTCTACCTCTTGTATTTACTTTCCTAGAAATATCTTGTGTAGAGGTAGTTGAGTAGCTAGTATAGCTTAGTTGGTATTCTAGGTGTAATTAGCAAGCTCACTAGTGTAAGAGTAGTGACATAACTTTTGTGTATGCCTAAATATTGTAAAGAACTAGAATTATGGTATTGGTGGCTTACAACCCTTGTAGAGCTAGAGCAAAATTGTATTTCGCCATTTAGGTTACTAACCCTTTGCTTTTGTGTGTTTGTAGAGAATTTTTATAGGCTATTCATCCCCTCTGGCCATTTAGAGCCTTTCAGGAAGGCAGTAGCAGACCTCATGGGAAGAGACGACCAGTGTTACTTTCAATGTCCTCCCTTTTTGATGTGGGGTGTCATCGTCTGTGTCCTCCAACTCAAAAAATGCTATTTTTAGACCCCCTAAACTAGGCTCTAGATGTTATATAGGTCAACCAACTCAAGATATGTTATTTTTGGATCTAAAGCCCTGTTCGCTTGAACTTATCAGCCATGGAACAATGTTTTTCTCTCACAAAAAATTAGCTTCAGCAGGTTTATTAGCCGCAGAAACCATCAGCCGAACATGGTGTAAGTTTAGACTTAGAACCCAATTGGACAACACCCGAAGCCTAGTTTAGGGACCCAAAATTGTATTTCTTGAGTTGAAGGACAAAGATGACATCCTTTGTCAAGTTCGAGGACGGCTCATGAAAATTTTACTCTCCCTTTTGACACACTCTCCATTATCATGTTTGACACCAATTTATCACAACGAATTGTGGTAGCTTGCATCTCAACCTTACACGCCGGTTGTCCTTTCCGCACTCAGTCTTTTAGAGAACTAGCTTGCATAATGTGCTAGTTGTGCATGTTTCTTGTGAAGAAGAAGAGAGTTTGAAACAAAGTCAGCCATTACAAAACAAGGTAAAGATAGGAGCCACCAAAAAACACAACAAAGAAAACTCGTAAAGTAAGCCTTACACTGAGGGCTTGTTCGGTTAGTCTCCCATTCAAGGGGATTAATTAAAGGGGATTGAGGGAGATTTTGACTTGTCCCTTGAATTGGATACTAATTGAGCAAGACCTAAGGAGGCAAGAGAGACTATGAACACCAAAGAGTATTGCCAACCCTTTGAAATGGCGCGATCTAAAACTCTCTTCTCGCCAAGAATGCTAAGGCCACCAACTGAAGGGCGGAGTGCCAGAACACCCGCTTATTATTCTTCCAAAAGATTTTAGGTGACCAGACAATCAAGACGACATGATGTCATAACCTTTTTCACGGAGGTATTTCATGAGGTGTTTGCAACTACTCATCCCTCGATCCTAAATTGTAAGTCATTCTGACTTTTTTAGATACATTGTTTGTAATATGTATCTAGACATAATTATATTTAGGTTCGTAGCAAAAGCTATGTACCTAAAAACCATAATAACTTACAATTATTTGAAATGAAGGAAGTATCAATCACCAACAACGAAGGGTTTCCTTCAGTGAAGGTTAGGTGTTAAAGGCTGACCATCCTATAAGTGTACAATCAAGTCTTTATGGAAGTGGATGTGGATGCAACCCTCAAGAATTGTCCAACATCCATGCCATCCACCTGTTCCGCCAACCGTTGATATTCCTGAACCTAATTTGGACCATCATAAGCATTCCCGAAAGCATATGTAATCTCCAATGAATCATCTTCCAAAACCGTAACACCAGCTGAACTTTAACCTCGTTGAAGGCTCTTTCACTAGAGTCCTAAGGGCCAGTTTGGCAAAGCTCTTCTTCCTATTCTTGAGCTTCGCTTCTTGATTCTCCGATATGGTGATTCTGGTGGGAAGCGTGGGAGGGGGGCAGGTGAGAATCGATTGTGAAGTGATTCAAGTTGTGATTGAACGGGGAGCAATGGAGAAAAATAGATAGTGGGTTTTTTTAGCTCTCAACTCATAGTATAAATGGAGAAGTGATTATCGTCAAGTCTCACCACCAAATTTAGTTGCACTCTGCAAAATGGCCCTAAGACATGGCTGGCATGTACCGTGCTGTGAAGTTGCTACTGGTACGTACACACACAAACAAGAAAAAAAAGGACAGCTGAGGTGTGCCTCTTGCCACCTCATTGCCTGCTTAAAACCCACAGCTAGCTTTCCCATTGGAGCGTTCTCATTATTTTTTATTATTACCCCTCCTATTTAAACCCTCGTCACGTATCAAATCCGTTTGACCACTCCTTTAATTCTCCATTTCATCCTCTCCCTTTCTACTCCTCCTATATATAAACACACAACACAACAGGAAGCAAGCCGGCAGACACACACACAGCCATGGCGGTCGGCGGCGATGCCAACGGCGGCTGCGGGGTGTGGCAGCGGCAGCGCGGGTGCTCGTGCACCAAGGCGGACTTCTTCCCGGAGGAGTCGTTCTCGAGCTGGTCGGCGTACGGGCGCGCGCTGCGGAGCACGGGGTCCCGGCTGGCGGACCGCCTCACGTCGCGGTCCCTGGAGTCGACGGAGCTGCACGAGGTGCGCTCCCGCAGCGGCGCCGACATGAAGCGCGACCTCACGTGGTGGGACCTCGCGTGGTTCGGCGTCGGCGCCGTCATCGGCGCCGGGATCTTCGTGCTCACGGGCCAGGAGGCCAGGGAGGACGTCGGCCCCGCCGTCGTCATTTCCTACGTCGTCTCCGGCGTCTCCGCCATGCTCTCCGTCTTCTGCTACACCGAGTTCGCCGTCGAGATCCCCGTCGCAGGTAACGCCCCCGCGCGCGCACCTATCATCATCTTGCTTACAAATTACAACACGCACAAGATCAGTGCAAACCAGTACTACAAAGCAAAGCCCACGGCGACATGATCCAACAATACTTGCTTCAGATCATTTCTCTCATTTCCTCGAGATGAAACATTGACGTACTCCTCCTATGATTCTGGTTGATACGACGAGAGATTCCTTTGCGTACCCATTTTCCTTAAAAAAAGTATTCTTTTTCCTAAAAGATTCTTTCTTAATACTATGAGATATGATTGCCTCCTTTAAAAATATCCAAACAGGGAGCGGGTAAGATATAACGATTCTGAGGAACCGATATGGAAGGTTTTCAAACGTTGGCTGACCATGATTATTGTGACCATAAATTGTTTCTTTAAATTAAAATAACATAGAAATTCAAGGTAGGAACTAACTAGGAAGGCGAAACCATGATTCATGAAGTGGTTGAACCTCATCTCTCCAATCAGCAAAATTTGTATGACTTCGGCCTCGTTTAGATATAGTCGGACTACCATCAATCCATATGTATTGGGTGGATTAGAGTGGAACTTAAACTAAATTTCACCTCAATCTGCACCAACACATTTAGATTGAGATGAATCCGACGACGTCCCAACAAGACCTTCGTTCGTTCATTTTCTAAACAGCCGGGGTTAAATCAAATTCTCTCTTGGAGCAATACAACAATGTCACTGCCAGTACAGTGTGGCAGCGTTTACTAGTCGTCTAAAGGTACTGCCAACTTGTTCGTGGTGTTGGGTAGACAGCCCCCTTTTTTTTCTTCTTTTTTCTGCTTGGAAAATTAGTTTTAGCTGTCGAAATGTTATACTAGTATACTCTGAACATTCTCCTTGAGCTGACAGTTTGGACTTCACATCAGCAGGTCACAGTCTCATGGAACGAACCGATCAAATGGTTGCTGATCATTTGCCGAAAATTCTCTACCTTGACTAGACAATGTGTTTCTTGATGCAGAAAGATTAGACAGTTAACGTATTTGGTTGACTTGGCGGCTGCATCGTTCGTCAGTAGTAGTAGTATTTTCTGCGTTAGTAGTAGTAGTAGTATTTTCTGCGTCAGCAGCAGCAGCAGTAGTATTTTCTTTCATTTCAACTGGGTGTGTCATTAGGTGACTAAATTCTAAAAAACAAAGTTCACCAGTACATAAAATCCTTTTCGCTAGCATGTTGGGATTAACTTGGCTCTAGTCTGGCCATTTCAGCAGGAGAAATAAAAGTGCTGCTTCAGTTTGTCCCATGGAAAATGCCATATGCATGCTTCGGCATGCCCGCGGCCCGCCTGAATATCGACCATTCTTCAATTCCTGCAACAAGTTTCTCCTTGTAGAGGCACAAACAAGTTCTTTTTTAACACACAAAAAAAAAACATGCTTTAATTTGGAAAAGGTTTTTCAAACAAGTAAAAAAAAATCTTCCAGCACACCACTGTTGCAATCTTCAGCACCCCAAATTTCAGTGTGGGTCGTGCATCGTTACATGAAAACTATGCAAAATGTTTGACCAATATAGTATATTAATCGCCATCTAGAAATTAATCATGATCGACTCTTGGTTGCAAAATTAAAATAATCTCTTTTACTCCATGAGAAAACAATAAAATAGTTTTAGCAAGCCTGTGAATTCTTTGTTTCCAGTCTGAAAACCAAGCAGTTTTAGCAAGGTATAGGATGTGTTGGATGAAACTAGTCCGAACTGGCAATGATTTCTCCGTTGGAGAACGAACTGAAAATCGTGAAAATGCGTGCGTTGCTGTCGAATGGCAGGTGGATCGTTCGCCTACTTGCGGGTGGAGCTCGGCGACTTCATGGCGTTCGTGGCGGCGGGCAACATCCTGCTGGAGTACTGCATCGGCGGCGCGGCCGTGGCGCGCGCCTGGACGTCCTACTTCGCCACTCTGCTGAACCACCAGCCCAGCGACTTCCGGATCCACGCGTCGGGGCTCGACGCCAACTACTCGGAGCTGGATCCGATCGCCGTCGTCGTCATCGCGCTCGTCTGCATCTTCGCCGTGGTCAGCACCAAGGGCACCTCCCGCTTCAACTACGTCCTCTCCATCGTCCACATCGCCGTGCTCATCTTCATCATCGTGGCTGGGCTCACCAAGGCCGACACCGCCAACATGCGGGACTTCATGCCCTTCGGCGTCCGCGGCATCTTCTCGGCGTCCGCCGTGCTCTTCTTCGCCTACATCGGCTTCGACGCCGTGAGCACCATGGCGGAGGAGACCAAGAACCCGGCGCGCGACATCCCCATCGGGCTCGTGGGCGCCATGACGCTCACCACCGCGCTCTACTGCGTGCTCGCCGTCACGCTCTGCCTGATGCAGCCGTACTCGTCCATCGACCCCGACGCGCCCTTCTCCGTGGCGTTCTCGGCCAGGGGCATGGACTGGGCCAAGTACATCGTCGCCTTCGGCGCGCTCAAGGGGATGACCACCGTGCTGCTGGTCAGCGCCGTCGGCCAGGCGCGGTACCTCACGCACATCGCCCGGACGCACATGATGCCGCCGTGGCTCGCGCAGGTGCACCCGCGCACGGGGACGCCCGTGAACGCCACCGTCGTCATGCTCGTCGCCACCGCCATCATCGCCTTCTTCACCGACCTCAACATCCTCTCCAACCTGCTCTCCATCTCCACGCTCTTCATCTTCATGCTCGTCGCCGTCGCGCTGCTGGTCCGCCGCTACTACGTCGCTGGGGAGACCACGGCCGCCAACCGGAACAAGCTGGCGGCGTGCATCGTCGCCATCCTGGCCACTTCGGTGGCGACGGCGACGTGCTGGGGGGTGGACGTGAACGGGTGGGTGCCGTACGCGGTGACGGTGCCCGCGTGGTTCGCGTCCACGGTGTGCCTTTGGGCGTTCGTGCCGCAGGCCAGGGCGCCCAAGCTGTGGGGCGTGCCGCTGGTGCCGTGGCTGCCGTCGGCGTCCATTGCCATCAACGTCTTCCTCCTGGGCTCCATCGACTCTAGGTCGTTCATGCGGTTCGGGTACTGGACGGCCGCGCTGCTGGTTTACTACCTCTTCGTTGGTCTGCACGCGTCCTACGACACGGCCAAGGCGCTCGCCGCCGAGTCTGCCATCGCCAAGGTGGAGGACGGCGACGGCAAGCCGGCACGAGGCGCCGTCCATAACGGCGAGCACTGAAGGGAGACGTAATCATGTAATCGTGAATATAAAGTGCTTTTTGATTGTTAGTCGCTGGCAGGCGAACATAAGTTTGTACAAATCTTTAGTTGTCATAAGACTGTCACTTGTTTATGTAACTAGCCCGTGTTGAGTTACTAGGTCCGTACAATATATATTGGACAATGTATTTTTTTTTCTCGTCTCCTGGTGACCAGCCGTTGTTGAAATGTAGAGTGTGCTCAAGGTGTGATTGTCTGTTAATGCATTGCATTCATCTTCAACAATAAGTTGCCTTCTGTGGCTACGTGGAAGCTGCTCTTCGCAAGTGAAGTTAAGCTTCATTTGTACCGTATCCCGGCTGACCTACATTTTTAGCTTTCAGAAATGCTATACAACACATATATATTTTAGTACAAAAAAATACATAGATTTTCTCTCTCTCTCTCCCTCTCTCTTTCTCACCGGTGACCATCGGCGTCGGTCACGGCGACCGGTGAGCTCGCCCCGGCGTCTGACGCCCACGCCCGGCGCGCCTCCCCGTGCCCGCGCCGGCCATGGCAGTGGCGGTGGCGGCGGCGGCGGCGGCGGCAGATCCGGCTCCAGGTAGGCCTCTCCTTCTCCTCCTCTGCGATCTGTGATTTGTCATTCTATAGAAAAAAAATTATTTCTTGTGATCTGTGTATCAGTGGATCTGTGATCTTGTGATTTGTGATTGTCTGGAGGTAGAAGAAGGCTGGAGCTTGGAGGTAGAAGGAGGGTGGAGGCTGTTGGATCTTAATTCTATGGTATAAAAAAAATCATGTATTGAAACTACATAAAACACATGGTTGACTTACATTTCGTACGCGGCACACCGCTTGCACCAAGCTGACTTGATAAACATCTCAATGCTTTGCGACAACTATCTCGCATGCCTCTCATTATCCCAAATTCTAGTATTATTTGTATTCCTTATTCATGCGCTTATGTTTAAATCTGCACATAAGCAGTTTCTGCCTGTATTATGTTCATTATTAATCCGTTACCGTGGAACTTTGGAATAATATTTTTCAAACATATACTATTTGAGAAGCAGCAAGAAGCAAAGAAACATATGTTAATTAATGATGACTATCCAAGCCTGTATGATATGATAGTCGGTCACATAAATCTATTCCCATGGTTCTCAAAAGTGAAGAATTGGCTTTCGCCAACAAAATATAAGGCGACAGATGTCTATCTGACTAATTTTTTTTCTCACATCTCCTATATTTCAAACACCTGAGATCCAAGCAGACGCTCAGGCAACACTCTCCGTGCCCATGCGCTCTGCGGCTCCTCCCTCCCTTCACTCCGGCGGCGGCGGCGAGGTAAGCCACCCCTCCTCCTCCTCCTCCTCCTCCTGGATCTAGGGTTCTTGCGAGCTCACCTCTCTCTCTCTCTCTCTCCCAACTCCGGCGGGCTTAGAAAAAGGAGGGGCTTCGGGGAGGTAGGTAGGCCAGGCGGTGGGGATGGTGGAGGGCGATTTAGGGGCCCTGGCGGCGGTGGAGACGGCCGGGCCAGGTCAGGGCGGGGGAGCTCCGACAGGGGGAGGTGGCCGCCGCGGGCGCGCTAGGGCTTGGCCGGCGGCGGGGGAGCGGGCGCGAGGCTGATGGAGTCGGGTGGACGACGGTCCAGGAAGAAGATGAACTGGGGGCTGTATCAGCAGGGGCGTTGAATCTTGATCCAATGGCTGAGACGGTCGTTTGGGAAAAAATCCAAATTTCAGGCGCCTAGATTATAGCAATTCCCTCATTTTCTCTCTCTACAGTACAGTTGTTTCTGGAGCTTTTACTTCGGAAGCTATTTTCGAAAATTTTAAGTTCGATTTATGATATCTTTTCGGCAGCTATAAGCACACCAGCAGCCAAGCACTGCACGTCGGGCTTTAGTACATATACAATACATGAGCTTAGAGCGTCCGCAGGGTGCGCTCCTAAGTCGACTCCATGCATTGAATGCGATGATCGAACCTGTTTCTATACCCTGCAAGGTCGATCCCATGAAGAAGTCGCTTCCTTCCATCGAACCTGCCTCCAAGAACAAAAAAGCTGCGCTTTGCTTCCCACTCAACTTCTCTCTCCTGCTGTTGGCCTCCAAAGAAACGTCCATGAGATTTTTTTTATTGGTGTGGGGTCCAACATGGAGCCGGGTCCTGGTCCTAAACATTGCTCGCAGTATAACAGCTCACGTTAAATCATCGCCCCGTTCGTTTGGGCTGGTTTGGCTTATAAGCCATAACTGAAAGTACTGTTGATTGATTTGGTGTGAGAGAAAAATACTGTTCGTTGGCTGATAAGCCATGACTTATAAGCCAAATACAACCAAGCGAACAGGTTGCATGTTTAGGGACAGGGCCGGTTCTCCACATTGCCGACGCTCTTATCGCTTTCCGCCCTAGCATTACACATCACTAACTTGCAGATCTGTCACTCAAATCCTCTCGTCTCGCACTTGATCGACGGGACCCACATGACCTCCAGATTGTGAATCAAAACCCAGGGGCTCAAGACTTCGATCCACCGAAATTACGCGAGTGTGAGGCAAACCGCAAAGCCTAAGGGCTCAAAACTTCGACACTCCCGAAATATGCGAGGGCGAAGCAATCCGAAAAGCCTAAGGGCTCAAAACTTCGACCTTCCAAAAATACGCGAGGGCGGAGCAACCCGAAAAGTCTAAGGGCTCAAAACTTCGATCCTCCGAAAATGCGCGAGGGCGAATCAATTGGAAAAGCCTAAGGGCTCAAAACTTTAACCCTCCGAAAATACGCGAGGGCGAGGCAAACCGAAAAGCCTTATGCTCAAAACTTCGACCCTCCAAAAATACGCAAGGGCGAAGCAATCCGAAAAGCATAAGGGTTTAAAACTTCGACCCTTCAAAAATATGCGAGGGCAAAGCAAACCGAAAAGTCTAAGGGATCAAAGTTTTAACCCTCCGGAAATGCGCGAGGGTGGAACAAACCGAAAAGTCAAAGGACTCAAAATTTCGACGCTCCGAAAATACACACGAGGGCAAGGCAAACTTTCGAAAAATCTGTGGTCTGCTTTCTCTTGTACCGCAGGTTCATGTTTAGTTATTTCCTTCTGAGCCATGTGAAGTTTTCCGAAGGCAACAGCCTTCCATAGTCGCACTAATTCTACATAAATTAACAGAAGATTTGTTTATCACACACACACACACACACACACACACACACACACACACACACACACACACACACACACACACACACACATATATATATATATATATATATATATATATATATATATATATATATCAAATGGCTTCGTAATCCCTTGTATGCATCAGGGTATCCATAAAATTCATTCGCCACATGAGCACTTCGGATAAGCCGAAAAGGGCGCCCTAGCATCGTAAGGCTCCCCCGGTATCGGTAGAAACAAAATTGATGAGATCAAAATTAGTTAGCAGATGCAGAGCACCACCCGCATTCATTGTGATCTCTAAATATACAAATGAAATAAAAGAAGCTCAGACACTCTACATTGCCAAAGATACGTGCAACCAATGCACGATGATTTTATAAGAGCTCAGAAACTTCCTGTCGCCAAAAATATAAGCAACCGGAACCGAACGATTTGAGAGATCTTAGTAACATCTCGTTGCCAAAAACACATGCAACAGAAGCAAAATGTGAATCGACATTGACTATGAGGGTTGGCGCTAGTTATCTAAAAGCAACAAGGGGCCCATTTCGCCGCTTCCAGCACTGTCGCCTCAAAGGGTATGGGGTTGGCACCAAAACAATCTAAAAAGCATTTGGGGGCTCCTTTCGCCGCTTCTAGCCCCTTGCCTAAAAAGGTATGGGTGGTTGGCGCCAAAATAATCTAAAAAGCGTTGAGGGACTCGTTTCGCCACTTATAGCCCCCTTGCCTAAAAAGGTATGGTGGTTGGTGCCAAAATAGTCTAAAAAGCGCCAATGGGCTCATTTCGCTACTTCTAACCACCTCGCCTAAAAGGGTATGGGGGTTGGTGCCAAAATATCTAAAAAGCGTCGAGAGTCTCATTTTGTGACTTTTCACCCCACACCTCAAAGTGTTCGAGGATCGGCGCTAAAGTAATCCAAAAGTGATGAGGGGCTCATTTCGCCGCTACTCACCCGTTACCCGAAAAGGTACGGGGGCCAGCACCGAAGTAATCTAAAAGCAACGAGGGGCTCATTTCACTGCTCCTTGCCCCCTCGCCCAAAAGGTAGGGAGGTTGACGCCAAAGCAATATAAAAAACTAAGAGGCTTTGCCATCTTCCTCAACGTCATTAACCATGCCTTTACCAACATATCGATGAGGGCTTTGCCACCGACTTCAGCGAACTCGACACCGCCCACGCCAATATCCCTGCAATGAGCTTTGCCCTTGACTTCGACATTAACGACAACAACTTTGCAAAATACATCGGTGAGCAAATTCACCACTGACTTTGCCTAAGTCGACTTCGCCCACGCCAACCTATCAATGAGGGGCTTCACCATCTACTTTGGCATCATCAACTACACCTTCACCAACATGTCTGTGAGGGGCTTCGCCATCAACTTTGGGAATCAACTACACCGCTTTTGCCAACATTTCAGCAACGGGCTTCGACTCTTGTCGGTGTTTTGTAAACTGGACTAGTAAATTTATACGATTGATGTGCTGCTCTAGGAAGACGATCGTAGCATCCAAAAGACACGAGGATTTATATTAGTTCAGGCCAGAGCCCTACGTCTAGTCTCAAAGATGATCGAGTGCGTGTTCCTCGCTTGAATGCTCTGAAGTTCTTACAATGGAGGGTGCAAGAATGGTGGAAGAGGTAGGAGAGCTAGAGCTAAGAGATGAATTGCCTGAAGGGAAGCTTTAGGAGTCCGAAGGTTGTGAAGCATGATTTAGAATGAAGACGATGATGGGAAGGGTGCCCTGGTTGTCCTTATATAGAGTTTGGGGCCAGGGCATGTATAAAGAAGAAGGTTCTCCTGACCGAGGGGTTGTGAGCCTGAGGG